AATAAAATAAATAAATAAAAAATAAATCAATAACCGTTTGGTCACTGAAAAAAGTGACCAAACCGGTCACTTTTTTTTAAAAAAAGTGACTATTTTGGTCACTTAAGAATGGCGAGCCGCTCGGCTTGTGGCTCGTTATTTCAACAAGCCGCTCAGCTCGTGCTCGGGCTAGTGATTTTACGAGCCCGAGCCGCCCACGAGCTCTATTTCGATGAGCCGAGCAGTCGAGTCGACGAGTGGTTCGGCCCTTTTGACATCCCTAGTCATAGGTGATTGACTATAGAACAAGCCCTCAATGAATCACGAGGATCTATGTGGATTATGAATAGAGATTAAAAGTATAAATTGGATAATGTGATGTGTAGAGAATAGACTTGAGAGAATGTATATAATAGAATTGAAATTTGAATATAATTAAACTTGCAAAATGTATGTGAATTATGTAATAATGAATGTATGTAGTATAAGAATTGTAGAATGAAGGAATAGTATATTAGAGAGAACAAAAGAGAGATTGAGGATTGAAAAGTGAGCAAACGGTCACTTTTTGCCCATGAGCCAAGTTTGTGGGCATGAAAATGAGCATCGCTTGTGGCCGGACCCACGAGCTAGCTCACTCGCCAATTGAGTCAGCCCACTCGGTTTGTACATGGGTTTGTCTCTAGATAAGTTCGAGTCACCCATAGGCTAAGCTTTTTTCTAGCAGAGCTGGCGAACCGCCAAGTTGCTTGGCTCAATTGCCACCTCTAATCATAGTAGGAAGACAAAAATTATATGATAAATTATTTTGAACTATCTTCTTCAACTAAGTCCTAGTAGCTCTAGTTTGACTTTCATTATTTTAGGAAAATATTCATTTACACCACTAATTTCTTTTTACATGTCCCTTCTCACAAAACTAAGGTCTTAAGTCATGCTCACAAAGTACTAGTGGCACATTACACTCATTGATCTATTATACTTCATATTCCACATGTGCGTAGAGCGAGTTATGTGGGATTATTTCATTGTTCATACTCGTATGCATAATCAGCTTCACTTGATAAGTTGTTATCCGTCCATGTTTGAACATGGTAGAATTTTTGAAAAAAAAAAAAAAAGACGGAGGATTCTTAGGTTCCCTTTTGATCATCCATGACACACAAAAAAAAAAAAAAAAAAAAAAAAAGTTCCCTTGATTAATTGCTAAGCCAGCCGCCACAGCTCAACCACACAATATTTTCAATACCTAATACAAACACTACCAATTATAAATAACCACGTATCTTCGAGAAGATTTTCTTGCCCAAGTCATCCATGACTGCGCACATGCAAAAAAAAAAAAAAAAAAAAAAAGAGTGGAGTAGTAGAATGATGAGCCAAATTTCATTTTGCAAGTACTAGAATATTGGTATTCTATGTTACATGTTTTCCATTTTATTACATAAATGTACTTGCATTATTTAACTATCCTATGACTCGTTTATTTCATACTTGTAGGTTCCCCTTGCATTTCACATGGTATTGTTTGAGATCATGAGATGTTGTGTTTCAAGAAACACATATAAAAAAGCACTTGAGACGGAGTGTGTGCGAGTTGTTTCGTTGGTCAAATTCTAACATGGTGGGTGATTATAATTCTGAATATTTATAGTATTTAAATGATATTGTCATGAAATAGAAAAAAGGGAAGTTTGTTAGCTTAAGTATAGGCAAATTCCATACTCAAAATCAGTAAATCGATTGTAATTGAGGTTCTATTGACTGGTGTTAATAGTTGGTTGAGCATGTAATCAAAAACCATGAAAGTGGAATAAGTCAACTTTTCTATCGCTCAAGTAATACCAACCGTGATTGAGCACAATTCCTAGAACATGTGTGCATGATGAACGTCCAAAATATGCTTAAACATATTTTTGAAAACTTATGTGCTCAATGAAAGTCCAGAAGGTGTTCAAACGCTTGTCTAGTTGAAAAACCATATTTTTCTTATTTCAACCTTTAAACGCTCCTATACTACATAGAATTATGAAATACAATTACTAAATAATAAAAGCTCTTGTATTTCTATTGGGTGTTGAGAGAAAAGAAAAAGGAGAAAATACCTCAAAATCATCTATCATATAGTTTCAAAGTTCTAATAGATATGAGAGGTGACCGGAGTTCTTGTTAAGGATAAACAAGTTTGATTTTGGAGATCCACATGAGAGAAAAAAAAAAAAAAAAAAAAAAAAATGTTCAAAAGTTCTAGAGCAGGTGCTGGAATGCACAACTGTTGAGTTCTTCAAGTAATCACAGATTGGAGATCAGAATCTACTAAGAAATTTTTGTCATGGACTACATTTTTAAGTTCAATGTTTCCATAGTAGATCATTTGGTGGCATGGGGGGTCAAAGATTTTTTTTTTCTCTTGAAGAGTTTTTCAAGGATTTTACCTTCATAAACAGTTATAGGTATTCTTTATTTCATCACATTTACTTGCTTTAATAATTGATGTGCTAAAAAGTTGATTTTCTATACATCTAAACTAAACAATTTGTGACATGTTGCAGATTATTATAAATAAATTTAAATTCCACATAGAATACCTATTCACCCCCTCTAAATGTAAAGTGGGTCGAAACATCGGTGTAAAAATTCCGTTGATTAATTGTTGGTTACTGAATACATATTCAGTTGATGCCATACATTGATGATATATAAGAATTGCTAAGCCAGAAATGGCTAGCTTATTATAATTAAATGAAAAATGATAAACCAAGAAGAAATTTGAAGGTACAATTTGATCCTAAATTCATGACGGTCCTACATTAATTTGCTTTATGTTCACAGCCCAAGTTGGAAAGGTACACGTGTGCGCTTCAACCATTGGAAACCAGAAAGGAATTGGCCAGGAGTGTATTTTGCTGCATCGCGTGCATTGAGAACTCTGAAACGTTTGAATTCTTTACTTCTTCTATTGGTGATGGATCCAGGGCCACGGTTTCCAAATTCATAGAACTCACAAGTTTGGTGGAAGTTCTCGCCGTCCCATTTCATCCAGCCCTCCGGCCGGATTAAATCACCCAACTCACTTTGCATGACGACGGTAAGAGCATTTGCTTTCCATGGGCGGCCAAGGTAGGTGGGGATTTTGAATCTCAATGGGAAGAGTGCCTTTTCTGGAACAATCCTGCAGTTCTGGAGGACCAATCCATTGCTACCCCTTGCCACTTCTCTTCCATCAGCAGTAATGGTGTTTTGTTGATTGGCATTGGGCTTCCTCACTATGATCAAACTGTTTTGAATAACTGCATCTCCCATGCCGAAGATGAAGTCGACTGTACCAGAAATGACACAGTTTCTGTAAAATTGACGGAATGCGTGATAGTACAATGTATCTTGATAGCCCTCAATGCTGCAATCGAAGATAGCTGACATATCTGATTGGACTCGAAGAGCCACAGCTTGGTGGCCATCTGGACCAGCATCGTTGCGGAATGTCAATCCCCTAGCAATGAATCCTTGTCCAACGGCAGCTACATATAATTGTGTTTCGTCATCACTGATTGTCAGAAAGAAAAATGAAAAAGGAGGATGTATATTGAAACTTACAGAATGTTGCAGTATTCATGGTGCCAATCTTCATGATTCCATAGTTTCTCTTTCCTGTGATAATGGTTTTCCCTGGGCCATCACCATAAATGAGAACATTGGGCTTCTTTTTGTCAATGGTGATGAACTCTTCATAGACACCCGCTTTGACGTAGATGGTGTATCTGCCTTTGAAGTTCTTGGGGTATGCTGCAATAGCAGCTGCAACCGTCTTGAATTGGCCACTACCATCCTTGGCGACAACTGCATTAGGTTTGACATGATGGCCTCTCTTGTGTGCTGCCAGCAGCTTACGGTCTGCAGCCCGGAACCATGTTGGGTAGCCATCTTCACCAATCTCGCCCGCTTCCAAGAGGCGACGGTTAGGCTGCAGGTTCACTGGCACATTGAACGCCTTTAGGACTTCAGAAAGCTCAGCAATTATGTTGATGGCATTGTGGGTTAGCTGAGTAGCATTAACCATGCCATTCTCAATGGCAGATTTGTACTCGGGCTTCCCAATTTGATCCAAGCATGACGACTGAAGGGCATAAACAGCGGTCATCCAACTCCGAAGCTCATTTGCACGATCTTGGATGGTATGCAAGTCGCTGTCACCTACGCTAGTATAAGACGCCTGAAGTGTATCCACGGCATCATCTAACAAATCCTTACAATCTTCGACTGCCATGTGATTGTAAGGATCGGCATCTTTGTTAACAACAGTCTTGCTGGTGACTTCAGATGATTTCTTCACCTCGTCAAGTGTGGCCTGAATTGCGGCCATGATGTAGTCCTTCGGGGTGGCAGTTTGATTATTTGCAACGGTTTCGAGGCTCCTAACGCAGGCATCCTTGTACAAGGTAGGAGCACAAATGGTTGTAACAGCCTTCATTGAGGATGCCATATCATGTTGATCCTTGTCAGAAGAATCATTGCGGTGCACAACTGCCACCACGCCGATGACAACGCCAACGACAAGAATCAAGGATACAACGGAGACCGCTACTTTTCCAACCATTATTGCATATATACTTAATTTCCTCCTGCCCCCTTTTATTTAATTTTTTTCCCTGACAACTTAAACTCAATTGTCAGGACCAGGTTGCGAGAGGATGAAAGAATTAAGGTTGTTGGGAGAGATTATATAGGTGCCCCTTCTCTTCATGCCGATGGAGATGTTTGATAATCAATGGCTTATCGACATTTGAGCTCCATTTATGGTTTAGAACAAATCTCTAAAAATAGATATGTTTTATGGAAGGTAGTTAACTAATTATTAGTTACGTGAGAGAAGTGGCTTAAATTAAATAAAAGGGAAGCAATAGCCCTACTAAGCTACTTATAAAACATTCTGCATAAAATCGAAATTGAGCATGATGTCCAGTTTTTCTTTGCAGACATTGGATTAAATGCAGCGTAACCTTGTTAGACTTGCAACATAGCAGAATACTAAATTGGTCAAATTTCATGTTTCTGTATTGCTGTTTTCTTCATTCATAGCTGACAAATAAGTTTAAAATGAAGAACCTTAAACGTTACGAATTTGCAATTGAAACTGTTAATTGCTTACAATAATGTATATCAATCTGTTGAGAGGAAAAGAACCAGCAGCTGTTCACTTCAACAACTATGCTGGCATCAATATGACTTTGAGCTACTCTTTGCTAAGTAAGAATGACATTAAAATCACTTAGAGTCCATTCCGCCACTTCATCTTTTGTACTAACAAAAATTTCCGTACCCACATCAAGAGATGTCCATACTCTTCTAGCAGGAGTGGTACCTGGATCCTGCAACAGAAAGAAGTTAGTATAGCCCTCTAGTTTTGTTCCCGAGCTCGTGCAATTTCATCATGTACACACCTGATAGAAGTAAAGTCTGCTGGCAAGTCCACCCACATCGAGTTCCCAAGTCCTGTTGTCTCCAATCCAACCATCTCCTTTTTTAGTCGGATAGCCATACTCTGCCCATATTGGATGAGGTAACAACTGAACCAATTCTTGAGCCTGCGGATTACTGTAAGGATCACAAGTGCTGTTTGGTTGCTCCAAATGTTGGGCATTTCCCGGAGAGCAGTAATAGTGATAGGCTCCGTAAGGGAAGTTGGCAGTATCATTGCGGTGAATTTTTTCGTTACTCGGGGTGATGTGATAAGGTGGGCAGTTGCCAATACTCGTTGGGCTGCACCAAGCCTGCGTTTCTGGGTTGATAATCATCTCACTATATCTGGTTACATCAGTGAGCACGTCTCCGTCACAAGGCGCGCCATTGTTCTTCCAGCAGCTGCCGATGTCAATCAAGTAAAACTGGCTCTTAGGGCCTCCCCCTTGTTTGATGTCTAGAGTCAATCTGACCTTGAAATTAGGAGACTCTGGAAGCTGGAATGTTTATGCAAAGACTAATTACTCCTTTGTTAAGTAAAAAATACGTAATTAGTGATAACTATAAGAAGAAAGTAGGCAAATTTGACTTTAGTTTGCAAATTATTAATGAATGTAGGGACAGTTTTATCATGAACATTAATCTTATCACAGGTGATTCTAGTGACAGAAGTCCAACGCCTAATTATATGTTCTTCCAAAAATATTCGTTCCGTGTGGGGCTAATCTGGTTTTGTACAAAACAATGTCTGGTGACATATTACAATTTTAGCCCTTGATTGGCCTCAATTTTTCCAAAACTCATTTTTAAAAACATTCTTCATAAAATAATTTTACGCATGAACTCAAAAATTCTCTCTATTTTTTAATCATATATACTCAAAAAATCACTATTTAAAAATGCATTTGTCCCAAAAAATTCTCTCTATTTTTTAATCATATATACTCAAAAAATCACTATTTAAAAATGCATTTGTCCCAAAAAATGGGGTTCAAACATGAGCTTAATTTCTCCATCACATTGAGCCCTTGTTTGATTTTTGACTTTTCGAGAAGTGATTTTCATTAAAAGTGATTTTTTTCTAAAAATGTAAAAAATGTGGGATCGAAAACGAGTTTAAAGAAAAATTGATTTGTTTCAAGAGCAAAGTGCTGTCATAGTTCTCGTAGTCATTGACCACAACTAAATGCAGATTTAAACATGATTACAACTTGAAATTTTAGTTCAAGCTAAGAATACAGTTATTAATGAGTTGCCGTCGACCTCGGAATGGATTATGCAAAGTACAAAAAATTTACAACATAACAAATCGAAAGTTCAGAACTATATTTCTAATACTTACAGTTTTGAGCATTCCTCTGGTGTCGTAATGGTAGCCACCGGAGTATCCCTCGGTCGCATCCGCTCTTAGGTACAGCATAAGCCATGGATACTTTTTGGAGGTCCTGAGTTTATGAGCAAAAACCCAACTCCCGGAACCAACTTTTTTCTCCCAGACAACCTCAAAGTAAGAATTTCCACTATCAGAATTTGAATCCAATTCATAAGTACCATTAAACCCTCCTTTCATTACGCCATTTCCGTCTAAACTTGTGGGCATATGGTAAAAGACTGGCTGATTCATACATCCACTTCCAAAACAAGGAAATCTTCCGGGTTTAAATGGTGGTACTTTTTTCCCATTTTCAGGACAAAGACCAGATTTAGTGTCATAATTTCCATTTTTCAACATGACCATCCAAAATTGCCATGGTTTTGGTGTGTCTGAAACTTGACACAACGAACCCAAATATATTTCCTTCTCCGCTGCATACAGGTCTGGATTGTTCAGTGCTTTTGGATTCAAACCCGGGAATGGCTTCCCAATCCCAAGTTTGTTATCCCCCTCAGTCACTTTGTGAATCAGAGAATGGTCTGAAAATCAAACCAGGACAAATTGAAAACAGAGATGACAACCAATACCCAAATATGTAACAGAAAAATATGCTTTTAAGTTCAAAAAACAGGAATATTTGTCACCATTTTCACTTGAAAGATCAAAGCAATCAGCAGCTCTTGGGCTACCCATTCCAGGCGCTTCTTCGCCCACTTCATTGCAGAAATTCCAAGCTTCAAAGGCAACTCTCAGGCCATCCCTTTGCATGCCAGGGTCCCCAACTGCCCAAACACTGCTGTCTTTACCATTTACCAAAGACCCACAAAACACTAGCAAATTTGCTGCCACAACCCAAAAATACATCAAATTTCCCAGTGCCATTGTAAGATTCAAAAGGATAGGTGTGCATCTGTGCCCTGTCTACTCAAGAAACAGAGCATGAGAATTACTTTTTCAAGAATGCAATAATTAGAGAGTGAGGAGGAAGGGGAGGAAATGTCGAAATAGGGTTGGTTTGCCCAATCTTTTGCGATGCGTGAATTGTTATGTATCCGTCTGCGGTGTGTCATTGTCTGAATATGGACATGAATAAATTTCCTGCCACCTTCAACTTTTTGCTGACTTGTTTGGATATTTTAAAGATTCTTTCCACTTTGTTATGTGGAAAATTCACAAGTTTGCGTAGTGACCACGTAGTTTAATTTCTGCATAAAAAAAAAATTGTGAGCTCTTATGGTGTGGGCAAGTAGCAAAATCCAAAATCAAAAGGAATTACTATTCAATTGAAAACTTGACATCTCGATGTACTCTTGTTAACAAATAGAAAAACGTCATACAATATACTAAGATCACTTTCAAATTGATATTTGCATTTCAATTTTCTTGGTTTGAAAAAAATTAAAATTGGATTCCTTAACCATTATTTAGTACGATTTAGTGTCTTCGAACTATATAAATATGTGACTTGAATTAGTTCTGTCATCAAATGACAAAATTCATCAATATAAACGTCAAAATCATATATGAACTTTCATGTGAATTAAAGCCCCTTTTGAGCCTCATTCTCCAATAATTCATTTTTCTTCAAACTCATTTTTAATCACATTTTTTAAATGAAATAATCTTACACGTAAGCCCTAAAATATTTTCTACTTTTTAATCAAACATTCGCTAAAAAATTCACTAATAAAAAAAAAATCCACAAAAAATGGCGCAGGCCCAAACATAGCAAAAGTTAGATAATAAAACTCCAAAGGCATTTAATGTGTTGCTCAAGTCATTACCTACTTTCGATACCAATCTTGTGTAAGCAGCAATCTATATAACATTATTCAATTTTAGATTTCAAGCTTTAGATCATGACCCAATTTTGAACTATTGGAATAATGGTTATTAAAAAAAATGTTGAACCCCAACTTTGAGAGCTCCCACCGTCCCACCCCTAGAGCTTTGTGAGGGAGGTGAATCGCGGGATGTGCTCCAACAGGTCAGGAAACAAGAGCTGTCTATACACTGCACTTACAAGGAGTCCAATTCCATGTTTCAGGAATCGAACCCCCACACTACGGTTGTCAACAAGGCGTGAAATAACATCACTCCTATCCTTTGCACCACTGGACTATACCCCAAGGGGCGGAATAATGGTTATTATGTATAGTGTGAATTGGACTAAGTCTAAAATTGGTGCGATGATTAGTATGGATTTTTCGTTTTCAAATGGTGGGAATCAAAGAGACATATTTCCTAATATATATGACTATTCAAAGAGATGTATGATGAAAAATTATAACCTTTTGATAGGGTGTAGTCTACACCATTAAATGTGAAATGGTGTTATCTAATAGTTGAAATGAATTTTGCTAAAAGATATGACCATTAGAAAGAGTCACTTGAAATCTATAAGTAGAGAAACATTTGATTCCATTTTATTCACTCCAAATCAATTCTATATAATTGATTTCTAATTTTTTCTTTTCCAAATTCTATCAAAATAATTTCCAAATTATTTTTGAAATTTCATATCGATATCTTCCGTTCTAAAAGAATACAGTCACGCAATGGTTAGCTTTGCAAAATTAATATTATGCTATTTTAATTTTGAAAGAAACGTTGTATCTTAGAAGACAGACATCTATTCTATTCTGCTAACAATAGTGCAGGGAATAAAATCCGTGTTAAGAATATTTGCGTTCGCATACCATAACTTCATTTCATCTCCTTAGAATTTTTGCATTTTCCACATTTGAATACATCATGATTTGCTCATTATTATACACATACCATGGTTTCAATAAGTTGTTACTTTATTCGTATTTGCACACACGTATGTTTTTATTAGTGGAATATAAATTATGGACTAATTTATCCAACATGAACGAGATAAGCATCCTTGCGTAAGTATTTGGTGTTACATAGCATTATTCAATTTGAGATTTCACTATATCTATTTTTATTATTTATTAAATAGAATGATGTTTATGGCTTCTTTCGCACAGATTTTTGTAAAATTATTTTTCTTTAATATCATTTTCAACCAAAAATTTTATCAGACTCATGTTTTTTTTTCACGTTTTAATCACAAAAAAAAAGGAAAAAAGGAAAAAATATACTTCACTCGAAAATAATCCGTGATGTACAAGCTTTTAATGTATATTAAGGCTTTGTTTGATCCACATTATTTGAAAAAAATACATTTTTAAACAGCGATTTGATATCATTTTGGCCATACATTCTTCAATAAAATAATGTTACACACAAATCTAAAAAAAATTTCTTATTTTTTAATCATATATTTTCCATTATTACACAATTAAAAAATATATTTTTATGAAAATAACGCATCTCAAACAGGGGCTAAGGGTGAAATTTGTTTAAATGTTGACATGAGGGGATATTGCAAAGAAACGTAGTATACATTCTTACGTCAAACATTTTTTGGTGGTAGAAGGTGGAATTGTTGGATTGTTTAACTTCCACTAAAAGCCGCAATCAAGGGTCCTGTGATTCCCCCCTTGGGGGACCAGCCACTCATCGATTCCGTTAATAAATAAAAACAAGCGAAAATTGCAGAAGAGACCCCCAAACCTTTTAAACAATTGTAGACTTTTCCTAACCTTTCAACCGTTGCAGACCTTTCAAATCATTGCATCCGAGGCCTCAACGGACGATTTCCATCCAATTCACCGTTAGTTGACCAAAAAACTGAGTTTGACTACTTTTTTTAATATTTTTATAAATGAAAAAATTGTAACTTTTCATTTATTACATTAAAATAAGTGAAATAAAATTACAAAAAAAATAGAAATTATTAAAAAAAAAAATTAAAAAGGAATAAGCCAGTAGTCTTCTTCCTCCCACCCCTCCCCTCCCCTCCAAAACTATTACCGCCACGCCTCCGCCTCTACCAATCTGTGGAAAACCCATATCTACGCTTGTCTGGCTGCTGCTTAATTTTCCCTAGAATTTCTTTGATTAAAGTGAAAATCCAAGAAAAATAAAGTTTTTTTCTTTTTGCACTGTTGCAATAGAGTGAGCACCCAAAATCATGTTGCAATAGAGTGAGCACCCAAAATCGTCTCATCCATTTTACACCAACAAATGCAAAACTAACTCTAAACTCTTAAATATACAAATTCATACGAACGTGCTTTGTAAACACAAAGGGAGCTCATATCAAGTGTAAATTAGCCCCTATTTGAGCCTCATTACATAAAATTCTATTACATTTCATTTTTCTCTCTCCGATTTTCAACCACACAATCTTCCATAAAATAATATTACACGTAAATCGAAAATTTTTCATCTTTTTTCAACCACTCATTTTTCAAAAAAAAAACATTATTCCCCCATTAATTTTTCCACATAATGAGTGTCAAATGGAGGCTAAAAAAGGTAGTCAAAGTGGGAAAGATCCAGATTGAAGGGAGAGAAGAGAATACAAAACAGATGAAATTGATTTGGGCCAAATTCACAAGCTCCCATAAGCCAGCCCTTGCAACAAACAAGGGGGCGGCACGTTTCGATTCGTCCCGAATCTTAATATATCCATCTTTATCTTCAATTCTTCTCCCCAAACTTCGACAAGAGAAAACCCCACTCAATCCTCTCTCTTTGTAATCACAGCCCCATTTATCTCAATATTTTTCTTGAAAGTTATTAAAGAAATATCTGAAAAATGGACTACAGACTTCGTCTGTAGAATTATTAGGGTTTCAGTAGAAATGGGAATTGCATCACTCTTGTGAGCTATATATGTGTAGATCGGAGCTAAAGAAGAGAAGCTGAAAAGGACTCAAACATAAAACTGGGGAAATTTTCCCTTTTTTTTTTTAAATTTAATTAATGTAATTAGTTAATTTGATAAATGAAAAGTTACTATTTTGCCCTTCATAAAAATATTTAAAAAGTGGTCAAAGTCAAGTTTTTGGTTAACTAATGGTGAATTGGATGGAAACCGTCCGTTGGGGCCTTGGCTACAAGGATTTGAAATGTTTGAGGTGACGACTGCAACAATTGAAAGGTCATTAATTTTGAGTAGAGATAAAATAATAATAATAATAATTTGCTTTGCAAATCCTGTTTACTAGAAACTTTTCATAGATTTGGAAAAGTGATATAAATTAATTTTATCTATGCAACTAATTATTAAAGGTTGAATCCCTTGAGGGCCCTCACCGTCCTACCCCTAGAGCTTTGTGAAGGAGGTTAATCGCGGGATGTGCCCCAACAGGCCAAGGAACAAGAGCTGCATGTACACTGCACCTACAAGAAGTCTAATTCCATGTCTCAGGAATCGAACATCCACAATGCGACTGCCAACAAGGTATGAAATAACGTCACTCCTGTCCTTTGCACCATTAGGCTATGCCTTGAGGGCACTGTGCAACTAATTATTAATATCAAAGAAAGTCGTTCATGTCAACCTCAAAATCCCTGAAACAATGTCCTTTTTACCTCTCCATCCATTTAACCATTACTTGTATGCTAGATCATATCATTACGGTGCAAACTGTTTAATGATAAATTTCACATTGATTAAATATTAAAATATAGATCAATTGCAGTTACTCTTCTTAATAAAGTTGATATTTCAAGATAGAATCTCAAGTTTTAATATAGTATCAGAGTTCAATAACTTCCATTGAACAATTTGATCCAATTAAAAATAAAAAAAGAGCAAGCAGATTTCAAGATTATTCAGCTCAAAAGAACTACCATCTTGTGATGAAATTTTAAGAGATAAATCTCACATCAATTAATTATCAAAATATAGAATATACGAGGGTTTGGGCTGCTACTCTTAAAATGTCAACTTATAAAGACAAGTAGCTCAATCCTTTATATATTGATTTTTTATTTCAATATTCAATAGATGTGAAATTTATTCCAAAACATTAAAATATAGAGCAATGCATGAGTTTGGGCTATTCCTCTTGGTGATGTTGATCGTTTAAGATAAAATATCAAGTTTTAGTCACAGGTCACCGTCGATAAAAAGGTCCGACAATTGTTTGTGCTACAAAATCAAGTCAAATGTCGAAAGGAGAAAAATGAGTGCAAAGAG